GTGTAGGTCTCTGACCTAGATCCCGTAGGATTTGCAGGATTAACATAGACATTATCCTATCCCTGAAATGACCTAAATTCTTTACAGCCTAGAGAGGGATTCTGTCATTAATTATTTTCAATGTATCAGTAACTACATTTGGCTTTGTAATGTGAAGTACTTTTTGGAAATAAAAATGTCTGAGATGTATTTTCAGGTAGCTTTCTGTGAATTTCCCAGGTCTCAAATATATTTGCTTCCATAGAAATGACTTTGAAAGACCTTGACTGTTGACATCTTTCTATGCAGCACAAAAGGCCAGATGGCTTTTGATGACCAGCTGCTTCTCAGAACAAAACAAAGTACAAACAATGTTAAAAATCAGAAGTGAGTAAGTGTGATAATTTGACCCTGTTTTTATATCTGCTATGTTGGCTACTCATTCAACCTTCTAGACAGTGATCTCTGAAATGATTGATCATAATCACTGGTTGTGTGTGGATGATGTTTATATTAACATTAGTGTCAGAATTCATATAGGTGCCATCCGAATCTTTATCTCATAATCTGTAACGGTTTTAGAATATGGGGTACTTACATTCTTCCTGTTCTTAGCATTAAACATTAATCACCAATTTGGAGCAAAAGGAAAAGTCCTGTTTCAGATCCTTACCTGCTCTTTCATATTCCTATGGGCAGAAGCACCAGAGGAGATGTTAGAAAGAATAACAATGAAATAACAGAGCTGTATCTCTTTTCTGGAATCTCCCCAACCTCAGTCTCCCATCCCTTGACACCTTCCCTTGCACAATTTTGTTATGCAGATCGGTGGAAAGGGCCCACTTTCCAAGATGAAGCAGCCAGCTTGAATTCCAGTCTGACTGCTGCCTGAGCTCAGCAGTTGGCTGTGACTTCACCTTTCCTTGACTCAGATAATCCATCTTGGGGAATGCAGATGAACCTACCTGCCCCTACTTATCTTTCAGGGATGTTGGAAGACAAATGAGATAATATCTGAAAACCCTTTGGAAGAAATGTGATGTATAAATCTAGAGCGACATTATATATGAGACACTGCCTTCATCATTCTTCCACCTGCTCCAAGAGGAGCTGTCTTTGTGCTGTTCTAGTGTAAGAGCAGGATCACTGGGCTCAGTGAGTTTTGAAATCTTAGTTCCACCTGGCTGTGGCTGTAACTGACTCTGTTTCTTTAGGCAAATGACATCATCTCTTTACATTTACGTCCATGTCTAAAAAATGTGCAACAAAATAATATTCCACAGAGTCATGGTGAGGGTCAAATAAAACAAGGGACAGGAGATGTCTGTGAGATGTGTCACATGTTTTGAAATATATCTGAGCGTACATATGTATGAATATGTATGCACATAAAATAATATATCTCTATATAATTATATAGAATATATCCTTACAACTTTCTATATGCACCATATATAGGTACACATATACCTCTGTCATTATGTTAATTGCGTGGCACAATTTGGGGAGCAGCTCTTAAAATTTCTTAAATTGGTATATTCAAATGAAATAGGCAATTCATTGCAACTCATTTTTTATAGTACTTTGAAAGTCTGTCATGCACACATGTATGTGTGTGTGGGGGGGATATTATCAGACTTTCACAAATACCTAAATCTTGATTCTCAGCTCCATGTCTTTCTGTACCTTCCCTCTGGTGATGGTGCTTAGGCCACAATGGAGCCAAAAGGCATTTAGAGAATAAAGGAACTGCAGAGGGACCACAGACTATATTCAGAGTAAGTTATTTTTACCCCTCACGTATTCTGTAATCAATACTTTCCTCATTTCTCTTTTGTATTACCTTTCTGTTAAACAGCTAAGGGTGTTCTTACCCTTATGACTGATTTCTTTCCTTTCTAGCTTTATTGATTCCAAGTTTGGACATATATAATTTTCAGAACTTGCAGCGAAGTCTGAGAGACATTAACAAACCAACAAATACATAATATAATTACAAATTATAATCAGTGCTATGACAAAACAGGATTTCATGACAGAGATTAACAGTAGGGAATCGAATTTAATGTAGAATGGTTAGGGAAAGCCTGTTTGAGCAGTGATTTTCAATTGGAAGCTTGAAGGAAGTTCTCCAGCACGTACTTGTACACACACTCACATGTCAGTGGGTGAAATCTGGTAGCCAACTCTAATGAGAAAGAAAACTAGGAAAACTGCCAATCCTGACAACACTGGGGTTTACTCTGGATTTTTACCAAATTCCCCAGAAACTTGTAATGTTCAGGACGTGTTGCCACCAGTCTCCCAGAATTTCTTTGCAACATTTTTCATAATATATAAAATTATAAGAAATCTAAATGCCCATTAAGATAAAATGAATAAACAAATTTAATAGTATATTCATACTATTAAAGCAGTTAATTTGAATGAACTTTCTACATATGTTGTAAAAAACAAAACATTGTTAAACAGAAATTTATAGATGCATACATATTCATTAAAGATGTAAAACATACATGGCAATAATAAAAACTACACTCAGGACAGGTGTTATTTTGCAATTAGTTGACTGCAGAGGAAATGAGCGTCAGGAAGAAAGTTAGGTATCTACTACAAGAAACTACAGGAGAATACTAAAGGCCAGATGCATGAGGAAAAATCTCAAGAGCACCCACGGATATTTTATACATGTAAGGAGATTGGTGGCTTACTTTCTCAGAGACAGGGTTCAAGTAAGGAAGGCATATAAATCTTATAGAAACGTATGAAATGAGGAGAAAACATAAGAAAAACATGAATTGGCTTGATATTTTTAGGCATCTAGTTTCAAGAGAACAACGTTAGGATTTTCTGGGGCACTTGATGAGCCTTGAGGGGATCGTGAGGGAGTAGCTGAGATGAGAAGCACACCGCATAGGACAATCTAGTGAGTACGAATGTGCAAATTTTTCAAGACATACTCAGTACCCTTGGAGGAGGAAAGTAATTAGACGACGGAAATTATCCAGGCTGGACACCAGAATGAATCGAGTGAAAGAGGTGAGAGACTCTAAGGTTTTGCTGAGTACATTTTTGAGAACTGTCGTTACATGGTTCTGGCTAAGTAGGGGAAGCCAGACTGAGAAGGACAGACTGACAAGAAGAGCGGGGTGGAAGGGCTGTGGATCCTGGTCAGCAAGAAGGCAAAGGCCAAGGTCTGCGGGTGTGATGAGGAGTTGGAAGGATAAAGCGCTGCTGTTGAGCTACTAGAGTTCCAGATGTGACATAAAAAATTACCTATTTGGTCTCTGTCCTTGGTTCCTGACACGGAATCTTGTAATTTCCTGAGAGAGGGGTGCTAGGTATATCTTTTGCTCTAATCTTTGACCCTGGTTCCCCACACAGAGCTTCTCATCCTTTGGAATTTCCTGAGTCGTAGGAGTGCCTTTTATGCTAGTGAAGCGACTCCTGGTGGGCTCCGCATGGGGGCTGATCACCAGAAAAACCCAGCCATGATTAGAAGCTTGGAGCTTGCAGCCCAACCCCCCATCCTCCAGGAAGGGGAGAGGGGCTGGAGATTGAGTTAATATTTGATCATGCCAAGCCTCCGTAAAAATCCCTGAACTACCAGGTTCAGAGAGCTTCTGGCTTGGTGAGCACATCCATGTGCTGGGAGGGGTGTACCCCAGCTCCACGGGGACAGAAGCTCCTGCACTGTGGACCCTTCCAGGTCTTGCTCTATGCACCTCCTCATCTGGCTATTTATCTGTATCCTTTAAAATATCTTTTGTAATAAATCAGCAGTAGTAAATCCAAATCTAGAAAATTATCAAATATGAGAAGGGGGCTGTGGGAACTTCTGATTTGTAGACAAGTCGGA